TTATGCCTTTTCACAGACTGATTTAGAGACTGAAATGGCAAGGACTTGGCAGGCTAATTAACACATAATCAAAATTGAGGGGATTTTCCAGCAGACGCAGTGATCTAGTTAATATAAATATTAGTTTTACGGAGGATTGATTTCCCTTCATAAATGAAAGTCAGTCATTGAGGAGAGGCCTGTCACTGAAATTACAGTGGCAGCCTTTTGAGGTGAATTTGCATGATTTGCCAAAAAAAAAAAAAAAATTAAAAATATAATAACTATCCAATTTCAATCTGCATATTCATGCAGCTGCCATCCCCCTGCTACCAGAGCACCCTGCAGTCGTGAGGGGATCTAAGCTGATCCGCTCCCCGGGAAAGGCAAGGGCTGATGCAGCCTCCAGCTCACATGCCCCAGAAGGACAGCAGGGTCCACAGCACGGAGGGGTCGCATTTGGGGCTGTACAGGCAGCAGGCAGGGTCCAGAGCAGAGATGCCACCTATATTTGGCAGACAAGAGGTGGCTGCCGGTGGGCTGCGGCACTGCTGCTAAAACACACTGTGGTGCAAACTCTGCAATGAAGAAGAGTGCGGTGACCTTTGGTGGGACGTAAGTGAAGGCAGTTCAGTGTCGGTCCTCCATAGGAGCAGAAGCTGTAACTCAACGATATCCAGTGAAAGGGAAATGCGGAGGGAATCTGAAATCTCAGTAATTGCTTGTGTACAACCTGCCCAACAACTATCCAATTTCAATCTGCATATTCATGCAGCTGCCATCCCCCTGCTACCAGAGCACCCTGCAGTCGTGAGGGGATCTAAGCTGATCCGCTCCCCGGGAAAGGCAAGGGCTGATGCAGCCTCCAGCTCACATGCCCCAGAAGGACAGCAGGGTCTGGCCCAGCTGGGACGTCTCCCCAGCCCTGACACAGCACGGTCAGGGGTCGCATTTGGGGCTGTACAGGCAGCAGGCAGGGTCCAGAGCAGAGATGCCACCTATGGGATTTGGCAGACAAGAGGTGGCTGCCGGTGGGCTGCGGCACTGCTGCTAAAACACACTGTGAAACAAACTCTGCAATGAAGAAGAGTGCGGTGACCTTTGGTGGGACGTAAGTGAAGGCAGTTCAGTGTCGGTCCTCCATAGGAGCAGAAGCTGTAACTCAACGATATCCAGTGAAAGGGAAATGCGGAGGGAATCTGAAATCTCAGTAATTGCTTGTGTACAACCTGCCCAACATGTTTTGCTGGAAAACCTCCAGATGGGCTGCTGAGACCGATGAGGGAAGGTGCTTTTCTTGGGAGAGGGGGTGAAACGTGCAGGACCCAAGCACAGGCAGGCTGACCTTGCAGAGGGGGCGGCTGCCATGCCTTGTGCTTGCAGCCTGACCTGAACCGTAAGGCTTCATCCCCCGCTGCCCCTAATGTCCTCTCAGATGGCTTGCTAGCAGGAGGGGATTGGTGTGCCAAGAGGAAGCTGCGTTGGCCAGATGGTTTGTTTGCAGGGCCCGGCTGGTGATTTATCCGGGACTCACTGCCGTGCACATACAACAAGCGACTCTGCCATCATCTGGCTGGGGATGGTTGCATTTTCACGCTCCTCTGGCTCCTCTACATCCAGATGATCCCATAAATCTTCCATGAGATTTATGCCGTAGCATTGGTTGCAAAAACAGCGGTAGGTTAAAATGCCTGAGCAGGTTTGTCCTGCCTTTTTTGAGCTGGCGCTTTGAACTACCAGTGCCGGTTTGGTGGGGGATGTAGCTGCCATGTTAGCTGGAATAGAGGCTGCAAAGCGAAGTTCTGGGAAAGAGATTAAAATGCATTTCTGATCCTGGAAGAATTGATCAGCTCATTGTTGCAAGGCTCCCTTCAAGTGTTTTAGCAGGGGAAATCAGCCTTTCAGGTGCTTTCTGTGCCAAAGGCTTCCATTTACTGTATCAAACAGAGCGACTACTGGAACCACCGGGCTCCCACATGCTGTTCCAACAATTAGCTCCACAGTGCTCTTGTTCAGTCAATCTCAGCAAATTCGCGGGGCTTTTCAGAAACTAGCCATTAGAGTGATCCAGCCATTTCATCTTCAAATGACACAGAAAGTTGTGTCTGCTTGCAGTCTGCTCTCCGTTCCAGAAGCTCCTGTTACCAGGAGCAGGAGCGTGTGGTACCCAAACCCACTGTCACTTGCAGGGGAGCAGCTGTGTTCATCACCCAAACACTGACCCTCCCCGCAGCCCTTGGGATTGCCAGCAAGTCCTGGAGAGCTCTGTGGGCCCCAGCAAGCGCTGGGCACGGAGCACAGAAGATGCAGGGTTTGGGAGGGCTCCTGCGGCTCTGAAAGAGCCTCTGTGGTTGGGGGGGGGGGGCATTGCTTTTGGCTGTGGTTCAGGAGTTTCTTTGATTTCACAGCCTGATAGGAATGGGAACAAATTGGAGGTCGGTGTCATCCCTGGCGGGAGGGATGTGACTCAGAGACACACAGGCTCTTTTGCTGAAGCAGCAGAGGCAGTGATGCTGGATACCACCAGCTCCCACTGAGGGGTGCAGATCACGGGGAGTGTCCAGCTGCACAATTAACATAGTCCCCTGCAGTCAGCTGTGGGCTTTGGGTGGATCCAAGGGTGGCTCACATCCCTGCACTCAATCAGGCTGCCTAGATACTGGCACCAAAGGTTGGTGCTGAACTTTGAGGATCTGAATTTGATCCTTCTTGAGCCTGGCTGGTGCTTTTATTAAGGATTTGCCTATGAGACCATTTCAGCTGTGAGATAATTGTATGATTGTAGTCTGATTTGCTCTTCCACCTTGTTTGTTGTTGCTGCTTTTTTCTTGTTGTTGTTGCTTTTTTCTTTGAAGAGGCTTGTAGGGAATTACAAAAAGAGGATTTTAATTCAGGAGACCTTGATGACTTATTATGCCTTATTGCTCTTTAGGCATGGAGTACAGCTTGTTCTTTTTCCTTCCTCCACTTGTTTATCTCCCACATCTCCTCCTCCACCACTACCACTCCAAGGTAAATCACAAGAACACTCCTCCATTAGAGAACGGCATGGTACTTTTTCAAGTGATTCACTCAAGCAGGAGTGGGCAAACATGCTTTCATCTTTTTTTCTGCTGCTGTTTGTTGGCATAAAGTGCCAAGTGGCCGAAGTACATTTCATAGGTGCTGGAAAATATTGCTGGAAAACGTTGCTCGCTCTTTATGTGGCCGGTCAGGGACAGATTTGTCCTTCACGCAGCAAAATCAGTGAAAGTTCATATGGAGTGGATACGCTTTTGCAGTATTTTGATCATACATCCCAGGAGTAGAATGATGGCAAATCTTTCTGCTGTCTTGTCCTAAATTTATTTTAGAAAGCTGCATAGCTCACGGTGGTTGGTTTCAGCCCAGCTCTCTGGCAGTGACAAACTTGCGGCAGGGCCAGTGACTGTGCGACCACTGATACATGTCCCTTGGGCTGGGATGTCACCAGATTGCTGAGCGGCAACGAGGTCAGCTGCTGTTTTCTGGGTAGGACCTGTCTTTCGATGCTCGGGAGCTGAGCTCTAAGTTCAGGTGTCTCTGGTTTAAGTTTTGGAGGTGTTTTGGGTGCACTTTGCAAACATTCTCAGTGCAGACACTGCTCTTCTGCCATTGCTGTGGGCACTGAAGCCACAGAGGGAGCAGGGCAAGCAGGAGGCAGGCTGCTGCTCAGAGCTTTGCCTGTCAAGCGCAGCAGGCTAGGACGTGGGAAAAGGAAGTGACAGACCCTTAGGTGTGGTCCTGGGGCAGAGGTGACCCCGCTGGGCTGCAGGAGGGCTCGCACGTGCTGGCATGAAGCACCAGTGATACTTGCCCACTGTGTTCCTCCCTCTGTTGAGTGAAACGCGAAATACAGCAATATCTGTCGTTGGCCTGTCTGTGTCGCCTTGTACTGCAGGCACTGCAGTGGAGCAACCCAAGGGACTCTGTCCTGCCATTGGTCATGATGGGAGGGGGCAGGTAAGGATCAGATGAGCTACATGCTTGGCTTTCAGTCTGTGCTAAGGGACTTCAGGCATCCAAGCTCTGCAAATGGGGAACTCCTTGAGGAGGCTTCTCATCAGAGAGGGCTGGAAACCACTGATTCCAGACCAAATCAGCCATGCCCAGGGATTTGTATCCACGGGCTTTTGCTGCTATTGGTATTCAGATCAAGTATCTCCAATTCCAGTCTCAGCCTTGAACTTCTCGTGGGATATCAAACGTACCAAATCTCCTCCCTGAGGATTGACAAAAAGCATGGCATAATTTAAAATGTAATATTAAAGCAAGTTAATCCCCTGCTGTATGTATTTCAGCTACCTTCAAGTTTGCAGCTACCTGGTTGTCACCTGTGCATACTTCACTCACTGGGACCACGTCCTTCCTCTGTGCTGTGCTTTAGGGGCTGTTTTGCTGCATTACGAAAAACCGAGAGCCAGGCTTTCATTTTGTCGTGCATATCCTTGAAACAAAATTGTCAGCTAAACCGTGATTGTGGAGTATTTACCTCTGGGGATGAAAAGGGGCAGGATGAACATAGCTTGAGATCCCCATCCCAAGATGAGTTTTCAGCACCAGCAGTTAGAAAAACCCACCTCAGGCTTGTTCAGTGAGCAAGCTCCCAGCAGAATAAACACAACCACACACACACCCCCCAGTGTCATTATCATGGCGTCGCTTCTTCTGACAATAACTGCTCTTTAACTTCTCCTAATTATATCGATCTTTGGCTTACCACTTTCTGGTTTTGCTGTCCATCTCCTACCAGACAGTAGTGGCTGGTGAGGGAAGTGTGCTCCTCAGTGCCCTGCCCAGGCTGCACAAGGCGCAGCAGTGGCACGGCTTGCTGCACACACAGAGGGTGCCGGTGTGAGGCCCCACTCCTGCCGGCATGGCTGGGGGAGGC